AACATGCGAAAATTTGTTTCTCCATCGTTTGTGCGATTGACCATCGCAATGAGGCTTGACGTTACTGTGGTGCGCTGGTGTGTGTGCCTCAGCGATCCATTGAGCTATGCTGGGTAGTGCTTTTTTTGCACCTTCAGAGCCACTCATACCAGATTGGTCAATGGCTAGAGGCCAGACAACAGCTCCTGGTCCTCCAGGTTGGGGATTGGAATTAGGTGGCTCCTTATTCCTTAAAACAGACTCCTTGTAGCCCAACGCCAAACCCGCTGCCTTGCGATCAGGTTTTTGAACCAAAGGCTTTGGTTAAGAACCCTAATCGTTCTCCTGTCTAGGCTTGGGCATCCTGACAGTATCCTGTTTACGCAATACAATGAATCTATCTTCAAACAAATTTCTGATAATCTGGCCACCGCAGAGGATAATCAACGGTACCCTATCTGCTGCATCGAGCAGGGTGGATAGGGGTTTGGATGCTACTTCTCAATCCTTTCCGTCTTCTTATTCCCCTCTTACGCTTTTTCACCCTTATCGTCCCGTTCTCACTTCACTTTTATCCCCCCAGTTTTCAACCCCCGGTTCTTGGTCCTCCTCCAACATGCTTTGCTAGGCATTTATCTTCTAGTTTCAACTGACATGCTAACGCGGAACGTCACTCCTGTCCTGTCGACAAGCCCATGTCCAGGCATGCGGTCAAGCCCAATTCATCGGCTTCCATTTGGAGCCCTCGGTCTTCCTTCAGATTGACATGCCTCACTGTGCGCATGTTGCTACAAATCGGTCAACAGGCAGCATTTACCCGAATATTAGAGACCCACTCCATCGATATCTGCTGTTTATCGGAAACCCGCCTGCAAGACTCGAGCTCTGTGCTCAATCTGCGATTCCCTTCAGTTGACACCAGCAGCATTTTCTCATTGCGCTTATCCGGTGACGATGTAGCTTCAAGCACCAGCCAAGCTGGTGGTGGCATTGCCCTGAGTTCCCCTACTGAAGCTTCTCTGGTTGGTTGGATCCCAATCAGTAGCCGGATGTGTGCGGTCCGATTGGCTGGCTCGTTCAAAGCTTCGAACTCGCGCGGGACTATTAGGTGTCTATTCGTCATCGCTGCTTATGCACCCTCAAACTCTAGCGATGATTCGGTAAAAGACGACTTCTATCGTCAACTGAACGAGATCCTTCGCCACAGAAGAAGCACAGACACTGTAGTACTGGCTGGGGATCTGAACGCTCAGGTTAGAAAATTATCCACAGATGAACTGCATCTGGGCGGCCAACATGGTGTAGACTCCCGTAGTGATAACGGTGAGCGGTTACTTCATTTGTGTGAGGATTCTCGCACTAATTTCCGACACAGCACCCGGTGGAGAGTGACTTGGCGCCCACTAGCCTCGAACCAACTATGGAGTCAAATTGATCACATCGTGATCAGTTATCGCTGGAGAAGCTGCATCCAGAACTGTCGCTCGATTTGGAGCACATTTGTGGACACTGGCCCATGCACTTGTATGTGCTGACATGCGGATGCGTTTTGGCAGAGGCCCACGACGACGTTGTGAGCGCATTGACACCGGCAGACTGGTGAATCCAGCTGTTCTGTATGCCTATCAAATTACGCTGTCATCCGAGTTGGATAAACGCTCACTGGATGCAATTGTAGCTCACTAGTCTCATATGCAACAGGCCTTACTTGCAGCAGGCAAATCCTCATGTGGTATGTCTAATCGCCAACATGAACATTGGGTCTCTTCACAGTCTTTGGAACTTATAGATGCTCGCCGGCATATTCCAGCTGGAAGCGAACACAATGAAACTCGCAAAGAGCTCTGGGCAAAACTCCGTGCTAGCCTGAAGAGAGACCGCGAATCTTAGTCGTCTCTTCCTGCGTCAGAGATGTGAGTGGCCACTGCCCTTGGTAACCATCGTAAGTTATTCCGTCTGATACGGGAAACAGGCAACAGGAGACCTGGTGTTAGTGAAACAATTTCTGACGAGAGTGGACAGCCTATCCACAATTTGTCAAAATGTTTGGAGCGTTGGTCTGAGCACTTGGATAGGCAATTTAATCGGTCGGAATAGTTAGATTTCTTGCCGGCCACTGATCGCCCTGCTCTGTGGGCTGTCCCTTTGGATCCGCCTTCTCGCTCAGAAGTCGAATGTGAGATCCGACTGCTGAAGTTGAACAAAGCGGCAGGACCAGATGATCTCCATCCAGCCCTCTTCAACTTCGGGGGCCCTGTTTTTGTTGATGAGTTACACGGATTACTTGAAACTGTGGGAGCTGGAAACTGTTCCAATCGACTGGAGCCTCTCCTTTATTGTTCCCATCTTTAAAGGAGGCTCGCGTTCGGAATGCGGCAACTCTAGAGGAATCAGTCTGATCCCCATCGCCTGCAAATTGCTTGCCTCTGTCATCCGGTACAGACTGACTGACACGTGTAAGCCAGATTCGTGAAGAGCAAACCGGCTTTCGTCGGGGTCGTGGCTGAATCGACCACATCTACACCTTGCGTCAGTTGTTGGAACACTGTCACACGTATTGGCGGCCCACCGTTGTCGTGTTCCTCGACGTCAAAAGTACGTTTGGTTCGGTTGATCAATGTGCCCTTTGGAACTGTCTTCTCAAGAAAGGTGTGCTCGAGAAAAATGTAAATATTATCTGAGCATTATACGCGTAGTACGGGCCAGGTGAAGGCATACAGCATGCTGTCACCGCCGTTCAATATCTCCAGCAGCATGAGACAGGGATGCCTGCTGTCACCTTTCCTCTTTAACTTTGCTATTGAAGAAGTCATGGAGATCGCGTTTACAAGACAACACTTGGAAGGTGTGGAGATACTTCAAGGAGAATGACTTCTTGACTTGGAGTATGCAGACGACATTGACCTAATCTGTGACAGCTCCCAGACGTGCCATGCTGCAGTGGACAGATTAGCGCTGACTTTCAATCGCTTCGGGCTTTGCTTTGCACCCTCGAAGTGCAAAGCTTTCCTCCAAGATTAGCAGGGATCGCCTGCTGCGCTGACCCTTGGTGAGGATCAGCTAGAAGCCGTTCAGAAATTCAATTACCTGAGAAGTTGTATCACCGCCTTTGGGATTGAAGATGAGATTAGGAACCGTATATCAAAATCTCTAAGTGCTTTTGCTAGTCTTCGCCACCTATGTCGGCGGCTCGACGTCAATCTCACCTTGAAGGGTAGAGTGTACAATGCAGCGGTACGTTCGGCCTTACTGTACGGTCGCGAAATCTGGCCCCGTAGATCAGCGGACATAATGAGGCTAGTTATGTTCGACCATCGGTGCCTTCGCAGTTTGATTCACATCTGGTCTGAACACCGCGTGAGTAACGAGCGTGTTCGACGCCTTGTTTACGGCACAGGAAAAGGAACTGAACCGCTCAACACCGTTATTTCAAGCTCTAGGCTCCGATGGTTCGGCCACGTATTGCGCATGCCAGCCCACCTACTCCCGCGACGTGCGTTGTTTGCTTACCGCGCGTGTGGATGGAAGAAGAGTAGGGGTGGCCAAGCGATGACTAGGTCGAGAGCAATGAAGGCCCTCACTTTGGAGCTGGCCTCGGTTGCAGCTTTACGGCTCTCTGGTTGGGGTCCAGAAGACGATGAGCACCTTTCGCTAGATACACTTGCTGACATGGCTAGGAGCCGACCTCAGTGGCGTTCCTGCTGTGGGTTTCTTTGTTCCTCACCATCCCTTTTAGCCTCCCCTCCACCTGCGACTTCATTTCTTAGCGTAAAACACAATAATTTTTCCTTTTTGCCTAGTAGCCAGCTGGTAGCTTACCGGAAGGATGCCTATCCGTTGCTGGTAGCTCAGCTGGCATGCAACTGTTGTATTTCTTTTCTTTTTTCTTTTATGCATTGCGGCACAGTAGCCGAGGTGTTTTACACCTCTACCTAACGTGTATAATGAACGAATGATGCTTTAATTCAGTCATGGCAGATTTGCGTTTCTACCTGTCTACTGGTTTCAAGTCAGCATGCACGTGGACCTTTAAGCGCTTGGTTCTCTTTCCGAGACGGGTGATTTGTTTCACTTACAGCCTGCTCTCACCTACGTCAAAAACAGTTTATCAATCATACTTTGCAAAAATTCGACATCCTGTTCATAACGCACCTGAGAACTGGAATCAGGAAACCCAGGTGCGTTAAAGGCCCTCAGTCTGCGGCCGCCCCTTACGTTGTGGCTGCAGCGTCTCAAGTCGCTGAACATCATTCTCGGCTTCTTTGCGTTTTCCGTTGGTTATCACCACTTAGCTTAACAATCGAAGAAAATGCTTACCAGACTGTCAGCGCTTTGCTCCGGCGATAAAGTAATTGGCGTATTAAATGGTGCGAAACAAATGATGCTGAGGGTTTCAGAGCACTTCACTTCGTTGACCAGCTTGCTGTGCTTTTTGGCTATCTTTGGTGCAAGTTTAGACTGGCATTGTTTACAAATGGTTTTTAAAAAATCGTACTGAATCCCGAATAATACGAAATTGATCCAGGGATAGATCACTGCACAAGATGTGAAACTACGCTCCGCAAAAACAGCATGTAATCGCGTTTGCGCGATGAGCAACGATCTTAGATCAACTAGCACAAGGAGTCTACTTTGCCATTTCAAAAAGTGGTGATCGATACCACTGAATCAGGGTAATATATGGTCGCAAGAACTAGAATCAACTAGCACATGCATTTATGGCAAAGTAATTCAGAATCACTAGTAATGGCGTATCGCACGAAAATCCAGAGGTAGTAACGAATCTAGCAGTGTAAGGAACCACGTTAACTGATCTGACGACGAAGCTATCAAAATACGACCCCAACCGAACTATACATAGTCAGATGGTGATATTAGTCACGCGCTTCTTGCGGTTTTTAGTCTTCAGCCCTATTTTTCACACTGTCTGTGGCGCTTTCTCCTGTCCGTTCCAGTTTCGCTTTCTGCGCTCCACTTTGTATAACAGTGTGCTTGTTAACTTTTACCATTTGTTCTCTTAGGTTACGTCTTTGGCACTGGTCAGCCTATGGAAGAATCGTCTTAAGGCAATGAACCAACCCTGCGTCAACACACGCTCGCGTTGCAACAACTGTGAACACCGTTACTTGGGTCACTCGCACGTCTTTGGTCGCCCGTCCAGTTCAACTGAGGCGTGTCAGATACTGCTTGGCGTCTTTCATGCTTTCGGCGTGTCCTCTCACACGTTTTGTCCGTGTTAACAATGCGGCCCCGCGCATCCGCCTTGGTAGCATCGGCGTCCACTCCAATTCTTTCGCTTACTTACGTTTACTTATCGTTCTTGTTCTACCTAATCCTCCTACACCAATTTATGCTCATGGACTTGTGTAAATCCTGAGACTCACGACATAAGTTATAACGTACTTATGCAGACTAGTTATCGTTGCTCGTCTTTGCTTACATCGCTTTCAATAATAACTGCATATCTTTTCTCGTCTGCCTGATGTTTTGGGTCCTACTTTCAGTCTGACTGGCATACTCCGTCAATATTTATGCCTATCCCATTTCTACTACCGAAGTTATTAATATTATCCTTGTTCTACCTTGCTATGATTACTTACAATACAGCGCAACACATGTGTCCTTCTTTTACTCCGCTATCTCTCTGATGGTGTCGTTGTTTGCTTACCTGTCCATCACTCACTCACCATGTCAATCGCAAATTTCACATCTCGTTCAGCGTCCGTACGATGGGTAACCACCTGAGCCCTCAGTAGACACATCTGAACTACCTTGTACCGTATAATTCAGTTATTGTGAACGCGACTGTTGTGGTAACGTCAAGTAACCCCGCACAAATGCACCACAAACTCCAGTGCATCAGCTGCGCCACGCAGTTCAATTTTTGCCGACAACTTTGCAGAATGCAGCCGGACCGAGTTCTTTCCTAGACCACGGGCCCCATGTGGTGATTCATTTCACCCGCAAAATGAACCATTGTGCCAACTGTGCTTCGGCCTTTGTAGGTCGTAAAAGCGCTCCTCGTGTTCCGCTTCGTCTCGTTTTCTCCCTCTTGTGGGCTACTTGGGACTTGCGTGGTCACGTGATCGTGTGCGTCTAAGTCTCGCATCTAGTCTCTCGGTCATGTGCGCAACGTCATCTGCTTACGAGGACTCAGTGCGTTACCCGAATACGTGCATGCATAGGGACCGTGCTCGGGTCACGCGTAGCTTTCTTCTAAACTGACGCTACCAGGTCTGCGCAAATCCGTTACAGCGTCATACGTTTTAAACTTAAGCTTGTCACTCCGATTGGAGGCTACTTCGTCAGAACTTCTAATCCAATTTGAAGCAGTGGGGAATCCTGCATAATAGGAAGCGTACGCAACTGCACTGTATCGTTAGCATAAGTGCATCCTAGGAACGTGCGTTAAATAGGGAAGTTTTCGACATCGGCTTCCGTCTTCCACAACCCCAGACAAAGAAAGTATGATCTGGAAGACATTGAAAACCTGACTATACCACATATCAAACAACACACCCAAGCAGTCCCTCAAAATTCACAATCTTTAGCTGGTATGATTCTACATCCATTCCCATCACTGTCACACCCAACAGAGACGGTCTATTTTGTTCCACTCTTTTTGCTGTTCATCCACATGACAGTTCAACGCCAGGTAAGTCTCAATCTAGCCTCTGGATCACACCCCTTCTGCCTCCCCCCGGCTTACTAGCGCGAACAATGTCCTTACACTCGAGCATGCTACTCTTGGGCTTGTTTCCATCACCTCTTCATTCAGCTTCCTTGTCTGTCATTTTTAATTCCAAAGCCTGAGGACTTCACGGGAAATGTTTTCACTTAAACTAATTACTCTTACATTCCTTGACAAGTTGCATTTTTTAAGAAAACTTAGTCAAGCGCTTCACTTTTAATATTCATCACCGAAACATGGTGTTCTTCTTACACATTGGAATCTGTTTTAAATCTTTCCATTGGAAATCCGTGAGAATATTTGTAGCTCGGGATGTGGATGCGGGTGTTGCGGGCCCGTCAAATATCCCCGCAAAAAGGGCCACAAACTCCGGCGTAATGGCTGTGGAAAGCGGAGTTCAATTCCTCTCCCCGACGTAGCAGATTTCAGCCACTCCGAGACGCGGCACAACTGCGCACATGTTGACAAAGTTCTTTTACAAACTACCACTCCGTCACGGTAGTTATTTTCACTAACTTAATGACTCACGATATTGGCTGTGCTTCGCCCTTTGTTGGTCGTAAAAGAGCCTTCAGAGGACCACTTGTCTTGCTTTCTCTTCGCCGTTAGTTGGGAGTCGGTTCTGTTACGTGATTTTTGTGTGCGCCGATAGCCGGGCAGCGTTCGCGTCTAGGCCACTAGCGTGCGTCTACTGTCACCCCTCTCGATTGCGTAGCTTCGTCCGTTACGAGGGCTCAGCGTCTACCCGAATACGTGTGGCTAGGAATGTTCTCACGCTAGCGCGATTTTCCGCCTCACCAGTGCGTACCCCGGGCTAAGCTAACACCATCACGTCAATGCAAATCAATTCCATCCGCCAGCGTTCCAAGCCGTTATCCTAGGCGTGCTCAAACCGTGCCAGTGACAATCCTATCATGCTCACATTCTTATCAGACGCGTATCCCAGTCTTAACAGTATAGACAGAATTTATCAACCATGACGGACGAGTACCCCGATTTAAAACTTCCGCTGCAGCAACAACCTAAATTGATGTCCGTGCTAACCGACATTCGCTCCAGTTCTTCCCTTCATGTAGGTCCAAGTGCTGATTCTCAGTCAGTGGACCATGTGGTTAGTGGCATTAGCGAATTTCTATGTGACACCAAGGCCGAGGTAATGTTTGAATCTTGGTATAAGCGGTACGAGGACCTGTTCACCCTTGACTTGGCTTGCCAGGACGACTCGTGTAAGGTCCGGCTGCTTCTGCGCATATTTGGTACGCTCGAACGCCAACGCTACACCAACTTCATCTTGCCGAGGAACCCACGAGACGGTCCGAACGTTGTCCCAGATTTTTGGCAAGCAGTCCTCTCTGTTCAATGCTCGTTATCAATATCTGCTGCTGGCCAAGCGTGATGCCGACGACTTCATCACGTACGCGCGCGTGGTCAACCGTGAGTGCCAACGTTTTCAACTTGGCTCACTCACCGAGGACCAATTCAAAAGCCTGATTTTCGTCTCTAGCCTCTAGTCTCCACACGATGCCGATATCCGGACGCGCCTCCTGTCCAAGCTATCCCAGCATAGCACTGTCACACTCCAGAACCTGGCCGAGGAGTGTCAAACGCTGCTGAACCTGAAACACGACGCTTCCATGATTCAGAACGTCGCCAAACCTGGTATGGTCCAGGCAGTCACAGCACCTAGGGCGCTATCGTCCGCGGGCCCCACCCAATGTGACCGACCGAAGTCCCCACCCTACGCTTGCCAGTTGTTTGGTGCTTGGTATTTCCACCGGGACTGCAATTTCCGCCAGCATCGTTGTCAACGTTGTGGCAGGGTGGGGCACCGGGATGGTTACTGCCATCCCACATCTCCCAACGGGACCACAACTGGGTTGGCACCCACCCGCGATCCAAAGAAGAGACCCCGACCCAAACGCACACCAAAATCTGGTCCTGTTGGCAGCTCTCTGAGCCTGATGACCACGTTCTAAATCAATGCTGCGGATCGGAGAAAATTCCTCGACGTCTTGATCAACGGTCAGTCCGTCCGATTGCAGTTGGACACTGCGTCGGACATTACGATCATCTCCTAGGATCTCTGGCGATCCCTTGGCAAGCCACCGTTCGAACCGACCTCCTAATCTGCCACCAGCGCCTTTGGTGGTCGCGTGCTGCTAACTGGGCAGCTGCACTGCTCCTTCCGAGGCGCCACATTCAACGAGATCTGCTACATCATAAGGACGAAGTTCAACCTACTTGGTCTTTTCTGGCTCGAAACCCTTGGCTTGGCCGATCTACCTTCGGACCATCTGCAACGTGGTACATTCTCCGGCACTACCAAACGACCGAATCGATGACATCATCAGACGGTTCGCCCCAGTGTTCAAGGATGGTCTAGGCCGTTGTACACGCACCCGCGCCGTGTAACAGCTCAGCCAGTATTCCGTCCCAAAAGGCCTGTCCCGTTCGCAGCCCTACCCTTGGTCGATGGCGAACTCGAGCGGTTGGAAGATATGTGCGTCCTGGTGCCTGTGTCCTATTCCGCTTGGGCAGCGCTGATCGTCGTGGTCAAGAAGCCGAATGGATCCCTCCGCATCTGTGCCGATTTCTCAACTGCTCTCAATGCATTACTAGAGCCAAATTGCTAACCGCTACCGATTCCAGAGCTTACAATACTCAACGGTGGCACTTGTTTCGCTAAGGTCGACCTGACAGGCGCCTACCTGCAGATCGAGGTCGACCTTGAGTCACCAGCCTTCCGGACGACCCATACGCATCGTGGTCTTCTCCAGTACACCAGGCTTCCGTTTTGAGTCAAAACTGCTCCAGATGTTTTCCCACAGGCGGTAGACGCTATGATCTTTGGCCTTCCGGGTACGGCTGCGTAACTGGACGATCTACTCATTGTTGGTCACACCCCAGACGAGCTTCGAGAGCGCCTGGTTACCTCCCTTCAACGGGTCCAGGAGTACGGTTTCCGCCTGAAATCCGAGAAATGCCAATTCTTCCTTCCGTCGATCAAATATCTTGGTTTCGTGTTCGATGCCAATGGTCATCACCTTGGTAATGAGAAGGTAAGAGCCATCCAGCAGATACCAGCTCCAGCGGATGTGTCACAACTGCGTTCCTTCCTGGGTCTCATCAGCTACTACACCGCCTTCCTGCCATCGCTACACAGTGTTCGATCCCCTCTCAATCGGTTGTTGCAGTAAGACGTTCCTTAACGCTGCTCCCCGCATGCGAGGAAGCTTTTGTTCACTTGAAAGCCATGCTGAGTTCTGACCTGCTGCTGACCCAGTACGACCCAACCTTGCCGATTTTGGTCGCTGCTGACGCCTCTGCCTGCGAGATCGGAGTAGTTCTCTCCCATTGATTCCCAAATAGTTTCCGAGAAGGTTGTTGCCCACGTTTCTCGCACCCTGATACCTGCGGAGTAGAACTATGGTCAGATAGAGAAGGAAACCCTTGCCGTCGTCTTTTCCGTCCCCAAGTTCCACAAAATGCTGTAAGGCCGGCGGTTCACGCTATTGACCGATCACAAGCCCCTGCTTTCAATCTTCGGTGCAAAGAAGGGCATTCCCGCATATTCGGCTGGCCGAATTCAGCGTGGAAAGTTTAATCGCGGCTCCTAATTTCTACAAAAATTACACTCCACACAAAACCAACAATTATCTCGATTATTGATCACTTGCTGTTTCGAAAGTCAGGCGTCGATTGGTTCATGTGAGCTGACCGTGTAGTCAACTCTTGCGTGCTGTTGGCTAGAGTCCGCTTCAATCACGTCCCTTTGTTTTTGTTGATCTGCGGCGGCGTACTGATTTCACCTTCAATGCTTCATAGACAGTATCTAGATCTAAGTGTCTTTTGATTGAATTCTTCCCCGAGTACTAAGCCTCGATGAACTCGCGTGCTTTTCGACTTTTGCCCTGCTTATGATGCTGACATTCTTCAAATCAAACTGATGATTCTCGTCGTCCATATGTACCGACCTCAGAGAGTTCCGGTCATGTCGGCGGATGCATAGGCTATGCTCATGTAGCCTAGAACCGAGCAGGCTTCCTATCTGGTCCACATAGTGTTTGTTACAGTTTTTGCAGTGTATTTTGTAAATCACACCACTTGTTTCTTCTTCGCCAAGCTGGTCCTTACCATTGAACAGGTTGTCTCGAATAGTTTCTGTCGGCTTGTGATCAACTCTAACTCCGAAAAGTAGTAGCAGTCTCGCCGCAATCTCAAAGACGCCGTTGATATATGGTAGAGTGATTGTCCTTTTATCCGTTTCTGATGTTTGTTCATGCATCGGTCGTTTTATTGATGTTAAACAACGTAGAATGAAATTCCTGGGATACCCATTTT